GCCGTGCCCAGACGTCTGTGCTGACTCGAGGTGCGACGACAACGGGGAAACGAACGGCTGGGAGCTGAGCTGGTGCCGACCCAAGGCAAGCACAGCCAGCTCCCAGCGTCTGCAAGAGCTGCTCATTTCCAGAGACATTCCTGAAGAGAAGGATCGGGCTGGGTTTTCTAACTGCCTCTTTGGAAACTTCTGGCATTTTTTTATTATTATTATTTAAAAGCTGAACTATTTGGGGTTAGATTGCTTAGATTTTCATGGGCTTTATTCTCTGCTTGCTCCCAAAGGTGTAAAGCAAATGTGAACTTGATCAGTCAACCCAATCGCAGCAGTATGAGAAGACTGTACAGCAGCAGCAGAGAGATCTGTGTTGCTGCTGTGCCTAGAGCATCCATTAGAAGCTCTTTACTTATAAAAAGGTATTAATCCAGCCCTGAGCAAAGCTGTGGCCTCAGAGCCACTTTTAAACCCAGTGTTAAGTGACCCCAAAATGTCAGAACAGATCAAGAGACCAAAAAACAAGGAAAGGAATAACCAAAGACCGGCTCAAACCCAACCAACCAAGCAGACACTATCCTGAATCCGCCTTATTAAATATGATGCCCGCTGAGTCAGGGCTGCCTAGGAAAATTATTATCCAGCCTCCTTCCCATTTGCAGTACAGAGATTTACCAAATTCTGCATTTTAACACATGCTTCTGCAGAACCATCTGAGGGCCCTAAAAGAGAGAAGGTTGTGAAAGCACTGGGCACGGGGCCACCTCTGAAAGCACCAGGAACTCCCTGAACTGGGGCCTGTTTTTATAGCTGGTCCTGCTGGTTTCACCTCAAGCTGAAGGAAATCCTCCATGGCATTTTCTCCTGAGCACACCTGATGGGATGCCAGTCTTGGCTTCAGGCCCAATTAGTTTGTAGCAGGCTGTTTTCTGACGCTCAGCTAGCCTCTCTGCTCCCCATTCTCTGGGTGACTTCCCCATCCACCAACATCCAAGGGAAAAGGTGCTTTGAAACGGGGATCTCCTGGCCCACTCATCTCTCCAGCACCACTCAGGACTGACCAGCTTCTTCCCAGTGCTAACAGGCTGGTCCCGATCCCTCCTGCACTGGTGAAGACAAGAAGCCCTCAGGGATGTTGATGGGGATATGAAAGAAACAAGTCACATCCTCTCCCAAGGGAGGTGGAGAGGGTTCCCTGCTAATTCCACCACCTAACGCAGTAGAGTGGAGCCAGCCTGGAAAAGAGATAAATGAGAATGATGAAAATAAGCAGGGAAGAGAGACGGGATGCTTAGGAGGAGGGAGCTGAGCCTCAGGGCCGACAGCTATAAGAAGAAATGCAGCAAAGTGGCTGAGCATCAAGAACCAGGCAAGAGCAGCACGACTGGAATAGGAGGCCAAACTTCCCAGGGGCCCTGTGGATGCAGCTGCACAGCCCGGGGAGCCTCCTGGACACCTCTCTTCCCTGTGCCAGGAGAAATGCCTCTAGGCAAGGCAAACCCTTGCGGTGCCGCCTGCTGCCAGCTGCAGCCTGGGGCGTCTCCGCGACACCCCCGAGCAGGAGGTCCCCACAGAGCTGCTCCGAGCCACACAAACCCGGCGAGCGGGCGCTCCAGCTCTCCTGTCCCTCGTGGGAGCCCGGCTGGGGCTGCTCCAGCAACGATGTGCCCGGACAGCCGCAGGGCGACGGCTCCTGCGCGCGAGCGGCCGCGCTCGGGCTCTCCGGGCCCCGTCTGCTCCGTCGGGGTGTTTTCCAACGTAAACAGGAAACCGGACGCTGCTGGAGTGACAGGGTTGGAGGCTCCTCCAGGATATGGGCAGAGCTGGATCACCGCACTCCTCTGCAGGGTCTCCCCTAGCCACAAATGTGAAGGATGGGTGTCCACAGGGAGTGGGAATGTGGGGCTTGGTTTTTACAATAATCCCACGATAATGGGGTTCCCCCATGGCTAGGGGCCCTTCAAAGCTCCTACGGCACTGGCTGACAGACTGCTGTGAAGAAAGAAACAGCTTTTGACTCACTCAATGCCATTCCAATAACTATCTCCGCTGGGTTTGATCATAGCACCAGACCCTTCCTGGGCATCTTTATTCCAAATACCCAAGGACAGCAGAGAGACCCTGAACAGAAGCTGTGAGCAAAGTCTTGGTAGCCCAGTGATTTGGGGGCCCTCTCCAAGCCAAAACACTAAAGAAAAGGTTAAAGGGGGAGTTTCTAACAGATACATCCAGGAGCACTAGGGCTCCTGATACCAAACCTACAACTTGGCGGTGGTAGAAGTCTAGGGTCTGGGAAATGAGTTGGATCTGGGGACTTGGGTTTCTCCCAGCTTAGACACTGAACTTCTGTGACCAGCAAAGCCAGCCCAGCACCGGGCTCCATGTCCCCTCCGCGGTGTTTGGAGGCTGTAAATATTGCGGGGAAGCGACGGCCTCTCCCAGCACAGCTGCATCTCAGCCAGATGTGGGGTGACAACCACAAGCACTAACCAAAGCTTCCTTGGAGCCTTGCTGCAAATCCAGGAGACACTCGGCAGCCTCCATGCGTGTCACACGGCGGGGACGGCCCCTCTGCTGAGGAGCTGCGAGGTGAGAAGAGGAAACGGCTACAAATAGTTTCCAGAGGCAGGGAACGGCAGGGAAGCAGGACAAGTAAACAGAAGGATATTCAGTTCTCCTCTTGTGATTCCCTGGGGATCTGCGGCGGCCACTGAATCCCTTGTGCTCGTGGTACCGCGCACGGGCTCTGCGGTGACAACGCGGCGCGATTTTGGCTGTGCCCCCCTGCTCTTCCCTGCACAACGGGAGGAAATGCGGAGGCCGGGAGCGACGCCGGGACGGAGCCCGCATGGGTGCTGGGGTGGGCGGCAGCAGCTCCAGGGAAGGCGCTTGGAGCATGGGGTGCTCTGGGGGCAGCTGATTCCTCTCCTAGTGCCCCACAGTGGACGCAAACAGGGAGCAGAGAAAAAGGAAAATGCAGAAATAAAAGCTTGGGCAGCTCTCTGTTTGGGATACCCATCCACAAAACCCAGGTCAGGTGCTGGCCCTACAGAAGCTCTTTCCTGGGCCTGAATTTCTGCTGCCTTCCACCTGGCTCCCACTGCCTTGCAGCATGAGAGCAGCAGCAGCCCCCGTGTTTCCCTTCCAGAAAGGCTAAAAGTCAGTGTATTAACATGAAAACAGGATTATTATCAAGTAGCTTTTGCAAACTTGGGAATGGTGCCCAAGAGGCTGAGATCTTGGAAAGACCTTAAGAACTTCCCTGGAGTACTTAACCTTATTTACTTTGCAGCAGGAGAGTTGAGGGGGGGAAAAAGCACCAAACAAAGAGCTCCAACAACCCGACACCAGGCTGGGCCTCCAGTTCCCGGAGCACTGGGAGGCACAGAGGCGGATTGTGAGCTTGTCAGGAGGAGCTGGGGAACAGAAAGGCATCTCTGTTCGCAGGCAAGGCTGGGAACCGCACAGCCAGCTCAATGAGCACTGCACATTTTAACCCCTTGCTGGAGTTCTTCCAGGCGGGAGAGGGCACTTAAGGGACACGAAGAATGTGGTGATGCAGAGCTGACCCACTGAGGCACAGTGGGTGCTATTTTATAGCATGTATGTCCGGAAATGGGACCGTTCCTTGGGCAATCACAAAAAGATTATTTCCTGGTGTTGACAGAAGTTATCAGAATCTATTCTGATAACTTCAAACAACACAGGACATTTATTTGATTGGTGCTATTAATTAGGCAGATAACAGCAACTCTAAACTCCTGAAAAGCTTCTCACCTGAGGAACTTAAAGCACTTTGCAAACTATTAATCCTTGCTTTGCTCCTGGAGTGACACTTAGCACTGCTTTGCAGATAGTTTGCCCTGTTCAGACTGAGCGCCTGAAGGAAATGTAGAAAAGCTCCTGACTTGTTCCCCAGTCCTTCGCTTCTGTTTCTCTGTCCCTTATCTTTAGCAGCTCCCCTTGGGTTTATTTTGAAGCTGTGTTTCTTCCTTTTAAAGGAAGTGCTCAAAGCCACCAACGGAAACCTCCAGGTCCCGGGCATTGGTTTGGTGGAGAGTGCTAGGAACCAGTTCTTGTGGGCCTGAGAAGCTGATTCCAGTGCTGGAGAGGCAAGAAGGTTTCTGTGGAGAATCCACCCTGCCTTTCTGCTGCTGAGGGACAGCACCAAATCGCCAGGCTTGGCTTCTCCCAGGGGGAAAGGCTTCATGAAAGCATCTGCTGAAGACAGCAAAAAGCCTGGGGAGACCCTGGGAAGAGAGGCCAGGCCAGCTGGAACGGGATTCAGAGGAGGAAACAAGCAGGGGCAGCGCGAGGGGCACCCGTGCTGTTCTGGAGCCCTGTGCTGAGAGATGGGCAGACACACCTGCACACAGACAACCGGAGAGGAAGCGCCTTTCCTGCTGCAGCGCAGCCCTGGCAGCTCCTCATCGTGTCCCGGACGGCCCCTTCCCACCAGGCTTCTCTCCGGTTGCCGGATGAAGCCCCTACCTGATGACAGGAGGCTCCCGCTGCTGCCGCTGATGATTTTGCCTTTGCTCCCCATGTTGGCCAGCTTGGAGGTCTTGAGCGTCCCAGTCTCGGTCAGGTCAATGGCAATCTCACTGAGGCTCCTCGCGGCGTGAATCTTGGACTGCAAGCGGACATAGCAGTTAGGAATGATCTAGCACTTCTCTCAACCTTACAGAGGCAAAAAGACAGCTCACTAGGACAGGAAAGAGCAAACTTGGATTATTTTGCAAAAACAGAGCAAATCTGGCACTCCATTCCCTGCTGCACTTTGTACATTCGTATGTGGGTGCATTTCTGGCACTGTTTTCTGCTGTTTGTTATTTTCTCTGATTTGCCACAGACTTTTTCCCATTTTACACAAATTGGCTGTGTATAGAATTACTGTATTAACCAATGTAGCACGAAACCTCTAGTAATGCCAATATAATGAATGGCAAACCCCAAAGACTAGAAAACAGCTCTAGCATCTATAGGAAGCCAAGGAGGGTCTTTCCATGTTTGGAGAGGTGACCTCCTAAGACATTGTCCTCTGTGTCTGTTAGGACCAATTGATTTGGAACAACAAGAAGCCTAGAAAGTTAAAATGAAATGAAAGCTTCTCCTTGCTAAGCTGCAGGATCAGATGTGGTTATGTCCACAGAGCAAAGGAAGGCAGAAAACAACCTTCAGCGCGAGGGGCTTGGCAGCACCAAGCAATGAAATGAGTGGCTGCTTGTGGCCTTGGGCTCACTCAGTCTTGCCCCTTCTATACAAATCAGTGTTGGCAGCTCTACACCCTCAGTTCAGACCCCCCAGAGCATCTAGAGAGTGTTAACTTGAATAAAAGGCTCAAGCACGTTCACTGAAGTTGCTGGAGATGGCCCTGCAGTGGCAACCCAGGCACTGCTGTCGGGATGAAGCCTGCATACGGACAATGAGCTGTGTGGCTATGAGAGAATTCCAGCCCTCTTTCTAGCCCATACAGTGTTAGTTAGGACACCTTAAAATAGCACATGCTGTATCAGAATAACTCCCAAGCCCCTCATATTTCATTTCTGACGAGGGTCACATCCAGCCAGTTCAAAGGAAAAGATAAGAAAACCTTTCTATAAGCAGTTGCGGAATAATCTGTCTGAAAAATTTCCTCCTGTCTCCCCTGAAATAAGGACAGGCTTATGCTCTGAACTCTATTTTATGCTTTGGTTGTTGAATTCAGCTCAGCTACCAGGCAGGTTAACAGAGCAGAAAGCTCTAAAAGCCTGGAAGAAGCTGGCTGGCTGTGAGAGGCTGTGTGTGAAACACAGTGGTGACTGCGATTCCACTTCTGATCCGGAAAGGGGCTTCTTGTTTGCTGACCTTTGCATGAGTTCTCTAGTCACAGATGGAAAAAGAGTGGACCTCAATGCATCACCCAGCAGCCCGGTGCTGCTGAAACTCAATTCGTCTGGTCCCAAAGAACCACTGACCTGGCATTTCTGCTTCCTAGAACCCAGAGAGCTGCTGGCACGTTGTTTTGAGGGTCCCAGGCTCTTTCGGTGTCCTGAAAGCTTTTTCCAAAAGCTTGAAAGAAAGCTGTCGAACTCTGGGACCAAACTCTGGGGTCAAACTCTTCTTGGTGGTGGCCAGTGATAGGACAAGGGGTCATGGGTACAAGTTGAAACACAGGAAGTTCCATCTCCATGTGAGGAAGAACTTCTTTCCTGTGAGGGTGCCAGAGCCCTGGCACAGGCTGCCCAGAGAGGCTGTGGAGTCTCCTTCTCTGGAGACCTTCCAAACCCGCCTGGATGCCACCATGTGCCACGTGCTCTAGGTGACCCTGCTGGAGCAGGGGGTTGGACTAGATGATCTCTAGAGGTCCCTTCCAACCTCAGCCATTCTGTGATTCTGCGCCGAGTCCTGTTCAGGAATACTTGAGCATTCACCTGTGCTTCTCCTCAAGGTGAGAGGACACTCCAGTCAGTCAAGTTTTTGGGTGACTGACAAACCACTAGAGCGTTGAGAAATCAGAATGCGATTGCTATCCATGTATCAGGGCGTGATTTATCCTCACAAGAACAAAGATGACAGGAGACTACAAAGAAAGGTTGTTCCAGCTGCACTTCTGGCAATATCTCACACCCTCAGGAAGATGAAATAATTTTTAAAGAACTCAGAGTGAGTGGATGGCCTAACGCTCACCACACTGAGCTTCACACCAGGCTGGTACTGATTTGCTGTGGTGCAGGAACTTGTAGGGTTAAGCTTGTCGCCATGCTCGGTCTCTTTCTGCACATCAGCGAACTAATAAGGGAAGAAAAATGTCTCATGTTGCATATTTCTAAGCTTAATTTAAAAGAAGATAGCACTGGGAGATCCTCATACTGAAAACAGCCACAGAAATATTACTATCATTTCCACATCCTTGGGTACTTCGAGGTTCCACCACTACCATTCCGAAGTACCTGGGTGCCACGAACACCGTAAGCAAGGCTGGACACTCAGCCCTGCTTGAGGGCAGAGCTGCTGCCAAGATCTCAGGGCAGAGCAAGCAAAACCAGCCCTGCTGCTGTTACACTAACGCTACAGTCAGCTGCAAACCTCTCATTTCCAGCAGCTCCTCCTGCTATAGACTGCTCTCCAGTCCCAGCCTGGGGAGAAGGACAGCATTTTAACCTCTTGAACCTGTGGTTGCTGGTCAGAACCAAGAGGTAACAAGATTTATAGAAGATGTTCTCCAAACAGCTCTGAATGGTCGATTCGAGGTGGAGACTGCTTTTATCTAACAAGATTTCCTGCCACAGGAGCTTCGATAAGGAGCCTGTGCAGGAACTGCTATCTTGCTGTGATGCCCAGTAATTAGAGGCAACAAGTCTTAGCTCTGCTGACATCCTGGTGATTTATCTCCTGCCGACGTAAATACGTTGTGTAACTCTAAAAATGGACACATGGGTCCAACGCAGCATCTGCCTAGCACAGCATATCGAATTGCTTCACTTGATGTCCAGGCGAGGATATAAAACCAAGTTTGTGCAGCGACATCCTTCCCTCCAATGTGTTCTCCTGCTCTGTGAGGCAGTGGTTTTCCCGTGTTTACCTTTGGGATGGTTTCAGCCAGAAGCCTTGTAGCTTATTTCCACTCACACACAGGCTGCAGACTGGAGCACACTGGCCCTACCTGTCTGACTAGGTTAAAAGGCTGAGCACAGGCAGTGCAGGTGGATGTTGTGGTCCTTGTCAGCACGCCAAGCCAGCTGGAAGGATGCCCTCCTTTGGGGAAGAGCAGTGCAAGAGCCAAGCTGGCATCCTGGAGGGAGAAAAAGCAAACCAAGGGAGAACAGACCCAGGCAGGCAGGGCAGAGGGAGATTCTTCCATGGAGAGCGCAAGGCAACCCTGCTGAAGCTGGCAGAGAAGGTGTTAAGATGGGCTGTTGTTCTGCTAGCAGGGCTAGGTAGGTCTTGGACACCTAGCACAAGAGTGGGAAGCTGAATACATCCCACCAGTGCTCCCTCGGGCCTTGCAGTCCCTCCAGGCTAAAAAAAAAAAATCCCCTAATTTTCACTCAGTGCTGACCTGCCAAGTCTCATTGATATGGAGGGGGACTCATTCATGAGTCATTTCAAAGCACGGGGGCAGCCTGCTCCCTGGTGCTGTTCTGATGAGCTCAGAGGGAGAAGGGAAATCCAGCAGTGCGAGGGAGAGCAGATTGACACCAGGAATCAACCTGTGCCCTTGTTTGCAGCACCAGGGTTCTGCTTGCAGGTGTTTCAGGAAAATATTTTCAACCTCCTTGTCTGGTTTCTACCAGACTCATTCTGCCACTGACTCATGTCTGGAGAAATACCCTATTCACAATTCCCACAGGAAGAGAATTCTTAAGGCCTCTAAGCCAAACATTTGATTAACTTGGAGTCAACAGAGCACGGACAGGGCTTCAAGTCCTGCTGCATTCGTCTCCTGCAAAACAAGGGAAGCTGTCAGGAGTTCTGCATGCCGACGTGTTCACTCGGGAAGCAGGAATCTTTTCAGCCTCCACGTTACGCTTCGGTTGCAGGGAGAGAGCCAGAGGCAGCGGGAAACAGGGCGCTGGGAACTCGGCAGCTTGGCAGGAGTTCAACACGGAGCGAGGCTCAAAGACTGGGATCTCCTTTCACTGCAAAAGGGGCAAAACCTCGGGTTGCAGGTTGGTTGTATTTCATTTTAAGATCGAGTGGAGCTTTTTGTTTTCCCCCATGGAGCTGTGCAGAAGATCCAAATCCAACTGCTGCCCGGCTAGCCGGGGAGCAGGGAGTTCAGGCTTGCTTTCTCACCACGGCTTATCTCGTGCCATCTAATCACAGCGCTGGAGCCAGTCTGAGCCCAGCAGGTCTCTTCTCAGTTTGTTTTCAGTTGTCTTTGTCAAAACCCTGCAAAATGCCAAGTTTGGACATAAAAGCAGGGAGTATTTGAGTTTTGCTTTGAAGCTGGCAATTCATCTGAAGTGAGATTTAAGGGGACGCCAGCCCCTGTGACTTAAACTTAAAAAAAAAAAAATGTTTCTCTAAGCCTTCGAGAGCTGAAACGAGGACATTTCACATTGCTCCACTTTGGAATATTCCTTATTGGTTTTCAAAAGCAAAGTGTACATCGGCATAGTGTCCTGAAGTGCCCAGCAGGACGAACGGAACAGATCAATTAAAATTGATGGATCTATCAATCTTGACAGCGACATAATAAAGACGAGGACAACAGAGTAAAACACCAGTTCCCTTAAGAGAAAGGGGTAAAAATATCTGTGTGTCTTAACTTCAAAGCCTCGGTGTGACCACTGGGATTATAGTGACAAAGCGCCCTGACATGGTCCCCGACGTGACAGATTGAGGAAGAGGGCTGGTGTCTGCAGGAGTGTGAGAGGGGAGATCAGATTGAAACACAATCTGCCAGCAACAAAAGAAGCCACTGAAGGAAAGTCCTGGGCTTTTAAGAGACCCCTCTTCTTACCAAAGAAATGGGAGGAGGAGGAGGAGGGGAATCTCCTTTTGTTTGTTGGTTGCTTGTGACCTAAATACCTTGCAACTAAATCAGGGAATCCATCTGGCTAGAAGAAGGAAAAGGAAACTTTAGTTTGCTCAGAGTTGCTTTTACTGAAAGCAATAGCTGGGCAAAGCAGAGGGCTGCACATTGCTGAGCAGAGCTGGGATCCCTTACCTGCTTGGTAGGCCCTTAATTACCCCTTAATTGCATGGCTGAACATGCAATTTGGTCCCAATTTTGGGGTGGCACACAGGCAGAGGTGGGAAGTTAGTTATGCCTCCTAACCTCAACATATTTCACAGCCACAAAGATGAACCCTAACTACATTTTTTTGCATAAGATGGGGCCACACCAAAGTTACTGTTACCATGTGTCCTGCCCAAGGCACCTGAAAGTCCTACCTGCTCTACAAGAAAGCCACAGAGCTCAGGATAGGGAAAACAAACGTCAAAAGGGGTTGGAGTGAGCTGGACTATTAGCCCTCTGATGGCCCTTTTTATAACCCCAGTGAGTCAATTCAAATCACCTAACTGTTGTAAAAATAATGCAGCAAACAGAAACAACAGCAAATGTTTTTTTTCTGCCAGCTGAGCGGGCCAAACTGGTTCACGAAGGGGCCTCCTGAGGCCAGCACCCATGCAAGGGAAGGAGCATCTTGCCTGAAGATGTCACCCTGCATGTGCCTGGCATTTCACCAGGGGCAGGGGCAAAGGCAGGCAGCCCTCAAAGCAGGCACTCACTCAAGAAGGGTTTGTCCCATCTGTAAAAACGTACACCAGAATGCTCATACGGAGAGTTGTGTCTCCATGAAAAGGGTCTCGTAGGCCTCCAAGTGATCTCAAAGTGATCAAAGTGACATCCTGCTGTTCTGGGCATGCCTAAGGTGACTGCTGCTGAAAGGAATTAGGGGAAAAATACACTCTCTTCTGTTTTCAAGACGGTTTCTTTTGTGTACTGAGCAGCCCTTTGTATAGCACCAGATCAGACAGTTTCTTCTAAAGCCAAGCCATTAGTTTCCCCCCTTTCAA